GGTGAGTATATTTCCCAACCGTCGTCAACGTTTAGAATAAAATCGGACCTAGAAAATTTTAACTGAAAATTAATTAGCCTACAAATGATACATTTACCGATTCACATATCCTTTTTTTAGTTAACTTCCTTTCAAATGAGAGTCATGATCAATGTAGTCACCGAACACATTCTATATCATACAAATTAATTAGCCTAAATACCTGTATATCAAATCATAACATCGCGTAGATGTAAAATAGTAAAATACAATTAAATAACTTAGAAAAAAGAATAGTAACCTTTAGAATGAGAGCGAGGTTTATATGGTACTTAAACAACTTTGAACTACTAGGCATTTACAGGAACAGAGGATGAAGAAGATGATGAGCTGATAGATGAGACGCAGCCTTTAAGGCGATCTAGAATCGCATTCTTGGTTTTTGTGAGACTTGCGTGGGACGTCAAAGGAAGTCCTTCTTTGACGCACTCGTCGTACTTCTCTAGAACCGCCACAATGTTTGAGAAATCCGGCCGCTTTGAAGGGTTTTCCGACCAACATCTCCTGATTAGGTGAGCTAGTGCCGGTTGACAGCTCGCGGGCAATGGCGGTCTCTCGTTCTGCTCATTTTAAAAAGGAAAACTTTAATGACTTGTATTTCAAGTAACTTATTTGAATATGCTTTGCATACCAAGTCATCATAGCACAAATTCTGATCAATATTAATCACAAACGCTACTTTACCTTTTCAGCGACTGCAAACGCGGCTTGCACGGGAGTCATGCCTTGGAACGGAAGCAAGGCAGTGGTGAGTTCCCATAGAACAATACCGAAGCTATAAACATCGACTTTTCTAGTGTAAGGTTTCTCTTTGATCATCTCTGGAGCCATCCATCGATAAGTTCCCATATTACCCTTAGCCTCTCTGCATTGCGTCTCAAGACAAGAAGTCCCAAAGTCTGCAACTTTAACTCTCATCTCATCGTTCAAAAGCAAATTGTTGGACTTTAGGTCTCTGTGGATAACACCCTGCGAGTGAAGATACTCCATTCCCCTTGAGATGTCTAGAGCCAGCCTTAGTACGGTCTCGATCGAGAGCGAATATGGCTCTTTTTTGTTTAGGTACATTCGGAGATTACCTTGCGACATGTACTCTGTTATTATGCAGTATACCGGCGGTTTCTTGCACGCCGCGATGAACTATATATCAAAATGAGGATATAATTAGCATTTGCAACGATTAGACTAGCTAAGAGATAACAATTTGAACCTCATAATCCAAAACCAAATAATGGGTAGAGAGACCTATATGTTCTAAAGACAAGATCTTTGTTCTGTTTTTTCTCCCACCAAGATTTTAATTCTTGATAATGAAATAAAGGTTTAGACTTTGGTAAGAAGATAGAGAATTCAGACCTGGACGATGTTAGGGTGAAAGAGACGAGAAAGCAGAGCAACCTCGGACTTAAACTGCTGCTCGAGTTTGGTTCTTGTCTCTTCCTTGTGTGTTGGGATCCTCACCATCTTCACAGCAACGGCTCTTTGTTTGTAGATCCCTCTATAAATCCGGCTATGCGCTCCAGAAGCAAATTTGTTACCGATAAATAGCTGTGAAAGATCCGCGGTCCATTCCTCTCTTTCTCCCTTAGACGCTTCCCATGTCTCCACGTTCTCAGACTCTAGTATCATCGACCAAGATTCCATACTATCAAATCTCTTCTTCTCCATCGTCTCTGTTTCTGCATAGCGGTTAGTTTTGGAGGAGGACGGATTAGCGGAAAATGGCGGAAGGGAAGGCTCTGGAGGGAACTTTGATTTCAGGGACCGCCGGAGACGAAACGGATTGAAACATGAACTAGACATAGTGATCAGAGGAGAGTTTGCTTGTATCACAAGGTAGGGTTTGAAAAAACCGAGGATCTAGGGTTTGTTAAACTTTGGTTTTCCTTCTGAAAGTGTGAATAGATTTCAGGAAGTGCATGAACTGATTCAGAAACATGAGTTCGATAGGATCTCCCGAGAATATAGCCGCGGTCTCATTAATTTTCCCGGGAAAAACAAAACAGAATCAGGGAAAGAAAAAAAAACCTAGCAAATGAGGTTAAAGTAAGTTAAAACCAAGAAAGAATATGTCAAAAGGAAGAGACTTTTACAGGAAGGAAACAGAAACAGAGGAGGAAACAAATGGGTTTCATCTTTCTTTTTTTCCTAGTAGAACAAGGAAACTTTCCGGGAAATTAGCAACGAGAAGGTGGAAATTTTCCGGGGGAAAAAAAGGACACGAGAAGACGGAAAAGCACCAGAAAGTTTTGGATACAAGTTGAGTTTTGGAAGTTAAAGAAGAAACCAAGTGAATAAGGTAACGGATCCAAAGTAAGAGATTTTCAAAGGTTTCTCGTGATTGCTTCGTTCAAAAGTTTGCCTTTTTGAGAAAGAAAGAGTTATATTATACGAAGTTTTTATTTTATTATTTTCCTCTTTGAGAACAAATCAAATCGTGTTCGGTTATTCGAACTAAATTAAAGAAACACCTAGTTACCGACTTAATTTGCTGCATTTCATTGGATCGATGATGATAAATAGAAAATGAAATATTTGTATATATTTAAATTAATTTGAGATTAGATGCAAATATTTATAAAGAACCCATTCTTATCCTGATATTAGAGAACCAAAAAAAGTTATAAATTATAGATGAAGATAGACTTCGAAATAATCGAAAGGGTTTTTTTTTAATTTCAATAACCTATTACATTTGCCAATTCAGATTTCTTTTGCCATCTTTTTCAATTTCGACTTTAATAGAATTTTCTATTGGTAAAACTATCTTAACTTTAACTTTAGTCCATCCATAGAATGCATTGATCTAACACTAGTAACAATAATAACAATGTTCGGGAAGAGATACTCAAACCAAACTAAATCAAAGCTAGGTTTGTATCATAGTCATGGTTGAACCGGTTTTATAGTACCATTATACCATATCAAATTTAGAAATATATATCTTTGATTTGATTGGTAGCACATTTAGAAGTAGCTACAAGATGGTTTTATGAAGAGACGGTTGAAACAAGCGGTTAAACCAAGTTTTTGAAATAGGAAGTAGTTACAATTAAAACAAAACTTTTTTTTTCATTTTTAATAAATGTATATACTTTTTGATAATTTCTTTTCATATTTCAAAAAGTTCAATCACTTGTCACTAATCGTTTAACCAAATTTTTTTTTGAAGTTATCTCTATATTCTATAGTTTCTAACCAGTTTCCATTCCTAGAACAGAAAAAAATTTATAATCTCCTTCACAAAATGGAAGCTAATAATCAAATGATTCAGATCCTATCATTAGCTATATTTATGACTGATATATTATATGTGGAAGTTAAAAATGAATAACATGTTTCATCCACAAAGTGTAGTCTAAAAAAATATTGACAAAGTGTAGATNTCGGTGG